TCTGGATTGTGAAGGGTGTTTGTGGCCATCGGGATTGTGAAGGGTGCCCGTGGCCAAAGGAATCCTCACAGCCCCGATTTGGAAGCCACCAATTCAAACCACTGAACTTGGGGTTCTGGATTGTGAAGGGTGTTTGTGGCCATCGGGATTGTGAAGGGTGCTTGTGGCCATATAGGAATCCTCACAGCCCCGATTTGGAAACCACCAACTCAAACCACTGAACTCAGGGCTCTGGATTGTGAAGTGTGTTGGTGGTCATAGGGATCCTTACAACCATCGCGCCAACCCGGGATAATGGAGCCGAAAGTGCTCCAGGACCAGAGTTGCTTCACCAATAGGAAAGATCTGCACATGCCAAACAATCCAAAGCTCTAATCCGTAATCTTAGTCTCAAGACGGGCTCTGGGTTCTAACCCGTAATCCACCCCAAACCGGACAATCCGATAGTTTGTCATCCGTAATCCCCCTGAGGATTAAGGATTACGTTTGATGAGGCCAGTTTTTACTGGCCGACTCTACTTCTCTTGAGTGGCGTTTCATTTTTCACAGCAAAGCCGTTTCCAGCCAACAAAATTGGGTGACTTGAGGGGACCCCCGTACAGCCCCATGGACCAGTGATATGGATTCTGCACTGATTCCGAATGTCTTTGTTTAAAAAAATGACAAACATCCAAAAAATGACAAACATCCAAGTATACATCTTACTTAGATCTTTGGGTTGCTGCGAGCTTGCCTTCACTACACAATGTAGGGGTGCACCCGTGCCATCTCGTTCCAAAAAATTAGCTTTACTAAATCCCAGGGTCCGCCCTAAGCGCTCTTCCTTTCCTATTATCAATCGTGAAGAACGACCAAATGAAATGACATTCGTGAACAAAAACAACAATACAATTGAATTTCGTAGAAAAATGCTTAGGACTTCGGCACCGGGATTGATTGAACAATTACGTTTGACGCCGTCACCTCATTTCCACATTTCCCAGCCAAACATGGAACCCAAAAAACATCTGTGTGGCTGGCCAATCTTCATGTCCTCATCATCAGCAGTGTTGGCGCCATGGGTCAACTACAAATGTGGTTTGGTCAGCACCAACACATGCTGCTGACATGGTGGGTGCGTGGAAATGCCTGGGCCTGAGCCTCACCTACATGAAGTTTTTGTGGTTGCACCGTTCGCCCCCCCCACCCGGAAAAATCATCGAATATGATACCCATTGATACCCGATACCCAAAGATACCCGAAGACCTCAAACTGTGCGCCACACGGAGGATTTTTTTGTTTTGTTTGTTGCACCCTTCTCAAACACATCTGGGCGACATTCCTGTGTCAGTGAATGAGATTCCGTCCGCGCACCCACACGCCAATAAAAACACACCCCCTAGGAATCCAAACGCGACGTATGTGGTAGGCGAAAGGATGCATAGTTAAGTTTTGCAATGGTTTGGCCTTTGCTGTTGAGGTCCCGTAGGCCCGCTGGGCGCTTGAAATTGGTTCTTGGTTCTTCGCGTTTTTTCTTGCACACCCTTTGTCTACCCACTAAGGAACCAATTGCGTGCAAGGCGTGACATTTGCCCGACGTGCGCACCGGGGTTCCGACACAATCTGACATCCACCTTTCCCTCCTTTCAGACGAAGCAGTGCGGGGTTGAAAAGGTTGCGGCTCATAGTCTTCACCAAGTTTGGGGCACTTATGTGCAATCACACACATTTCGTTGGAATAGTGCAGCACAGGAAAATTGCAGCAATGAACACCCCACATTTTGGCGTTGCTTGTCAACTTGTTGTCGGCTTAACGAAGTCGCGTTATGTGATGGCCTCGGTTTCAATGCTGCTATCAGCTGGAGGCGGTAACTTTCGGCAACTAGTTGCATACGTTTCCATTCACTGTGGGTTTCAAGGGTTTGATGCAGAGCAATCCTGGAACTGGTGTTTTCTGACATGTTTTCTGCAAGTCTTTTGGACCTCTTTCTGGCATATCTTCTGGCATACCTCTTGGTGGCATCTCGTCAGACGAGCGGTTGAGGTCCGGCGGGGAACACTGCCCGCCGAAGCTCGTGGTTGAGGTCCGGCGGGAAACACTGCCATCCAGAGCTGGCGGCTGAGGTCCGGCGAGGAACACTGCCATCCTACGCTTGCGGCTGAGGTGCGGCGTGGAACACTGCCACACTTGCGGTTGAGGGCGGGGAACACTGCCATCCGACACTTGCGGTTGAGGAGCGGAGGAGGCGGAGGATGAGGAGGAGGAAGAGGCGGCGGAGGAGGAGCAAGGCAGCTGACATAAACTCTAACAGCCCTCACCTGACAAGTGGTGAAAAAACAGAGAGAACCTGGGCAATCCCACTTTGTCACAAAGACCGGCACTGCTGACATATGATATATGTCAACACCGAAAGTATCCATAAAACTTCTTTCCCAAAGCCACATGTTCTCACAGCATTGATGATAGAAAATGACAAACCAAATAAATCATCTCTAGCACCATGTGCGCGACAGGGCATCCCTTGCGAAAACACCGCCTCAGAGGGGATGAAAATGATTGAACATAAATGAACATAATAATTCATAATAATCATTAAATAATCATAATAATTACCTCAGTGGCGGTGAAATGAGGCCCTCTCTCGATACAATGAGACTCCATATGATCTTCATGTTGCCGAGCGCCATGCACCGGGTATTGCACAGGGTGATGTTCGGTGTTGCCACTGGTCTGCGTATCGTGGTCTGTTGTCGCATTTCTTCTTGTCTTGTCAAGTGTGGTGTGGTGTGGTTGCACTAAATGTTTTAGTGTTGTCACATCTTGTCATACGTTCTGAAGTTTTTTCTGTTGCGTTTGCCATCGTGTGCTGTCAACTGCTGATGTTGCCGTCGTCGGCTACTTGGGTCGGGCTGGCAAATGCGTGCGACCATGTCCTCGCACGCCCTTGGGCGGTCAGGCCACTGGCGGGACGGTGGGATATGCCGAAACTGTTTGGTGTGGCCATTGTGATCGTGCTGTCTGTGATTGTTTGTCTAGACAGTGCTTGTCATTACACGATTGCCTGCAACTGCCTGCGGCACGCGCTCGCGTAAGTGGTGTACTCTTCAAACGGAGCTGCGGTGGGGTCTACCCGCCCCATCCTTTCGGGTGGGAGACCCGCGGCCGCGGCTCCGCGGCAACAGACCCACACGTTCATTGTGCGCAGCCGTTTCAGACCGCAGGCCCATGTCCTTCCATTTCCAACCACGCGGTGCACCGAAAAGGCCACGCAGTGCACCGAGCTCACGCACGTTCACATGTTTGGGTCGGGCTCGACCCGCTGCCAGCGGTGAGCTGTGGCTGCGTGGCTCCGTGCTGGAGCGCACTGCTCCGGTGAGGGCGTGGTGGCTTTGGGCGCTCCCAGCGGTGCAAACCCGTGCGCTGGCCGCATCCATGGCCGGTGGGCCGGTGGGTCAGAGTGCGAGGCAAAGCCGTTTCACCAAGGGACTTGAGGATCAAATGACCGAAGGTTCGCTCTGCATGGGCGCGACTCAAATGCATTCAAATGCGCTTTCATCCGTCCAGAATAACAATCCATGCACCATCACCGGAGAAGGAACAAATGCTCATCACCAATCACAAGCATGGGGGCCAAAACGGCCGAGCCACGGCCAAAACGCTGATGGCAGCGTTTTCTTCGTCCGGTCAGGCCGTTCGTGTTCGTGTTCGGGGGCTCGAACTGGGAGCATGTTGAGTAGCTTGGGTTGAACCAGAGTAGCTTGTGGATTGTTCAGCCAGGTGGGAGCGAGAGAAGGAATTCCTGGTGGCACGCGGTGCGCAAATGAAATTGGTGTCGTGATGTGTCGTGGTTTCTTATGGTTAGCCTGATGACAGGAACGGTGGAGTGCAGGAGGCGACCCCATCACTCTCTTGAACATGTGCACGCAGGAGCCTGAAACTGTTGACGAAACAGAGCAAATGCGTTTGTGCAACTGAACAAAGCAAGTATCTAGGTATATGATATGCTGGTTCATCGCGTTCCCTTGTTCATTTTTGAGTATGTACCGCCTTGCCATCCTTGCCCATTGTCTGAAGAGCCAATGCTCGCGTTCGCCGCGTTCGCCCAAAGATGGGGCCAAATATGCGAAACCCAGTTCCAGGAGTTTGAAGACACAATGAGATGCCAACAACCATGCCATCTGTGCACCAGGGCCGATGCCACCAAAAGGGCCGAGCCTTTGGCCGACGTCATGGAGGATGGTTTGTCTGGTGCAGAACATGACACCACCATACAAGACCAGTGATCACATGCGGAGCATGACGGACTGAGCAGGCCAGGCTCGCGGACCTTGTTTTGCTCTACCGGCAAGCCAAGAGGTGCCAGGTGCCCCATTGGCCGGTTGATCTGGTTACGTCGACCGAGAGCAGCATGCGATGTGGCCGGAACTCCAGATACGCCCCAGTGGTGACCGACGTGGGGCGATCAATGGCACCGCCAAACCCCCAAGAGGACTGAAGGAAAGCTGACTGGCCGTGGTGCGACAACACGCAGAACATCCACCAGAGCCGACAGTGTCCACCGGCTCCACCTCCGGTGAACACCGACATGCGCGGCCTCGACTTGAAGGTGTCGACTGGAAGGAATGCATGAGATGGACATATGAACACACAGACTCTAATTCCACTCTCTCACTCTCTCTCCTAAGATATACTCTAGATATCACATCCACGACGCACATCTCTTTTTGGCCGACTCGCACAATAAGCAGGTCTCTTCCACGCGGCAAACAGGGCCTGGGCTGAGCTGGAATGGGAAAGGATCAATCATGAGCGGGTGCAAAGGGATGGTATTCACGAATCATGTCTTTGAAGGGGGTTCCAAAAGTCTGCAGATTCCACTTGCCACTCGTACACAGCACAACCCTCGATCTTTTGAGCATTCATTTTGCCCATCGGCAAGGTGTCGAACTCTCCCAGCATCGGCACCTGCTCAGTCCATGCCATCGAAGTCCTCACCTGGCTCTTCGGGGCTGAGACGTCCATCTGGTGGAAGCATGGTTGACAAGAGGCACTGGCACCCCTAGAGGCCCTAGACCCAAGAGGTCGTTTAGATGGGGGTCCATATAAACCACCCAACTGGGACATTTGCATCTACTACTCAATCCACTAGATCTCGGAGGACGACTTCCGGCTACGCCACGGAATTGGAAAGCTGGTGGACTTGGACATGCAGTGAGAAGATCAACCGGGGATCAATATAGTGACGTCGAGAACCATAGAGGACCACGGTGTGTGACAGGGTGAGACACGAGGAAATTCGAGATTCAACCACATGAAGCGGAAAAGGTGAAAGAACATCATACCCAAAAGAGAAAACGACCACCATCAAACACCTCATGTATCCCATCTCCAGAATTTTCCCCCAAAGATCTGCCTAAGGCAGCACTCTCTGGCTGCATGGGGATGGAGAAGCTCGGCCCGGCCTCGTGAGATCTACTAGTCTCTCGCATCGTTACTAGGAGCGTTCGGACGCCTCTAGGGGCTCCTGGCCGTACTACTAGGAACAAGAAGCTACTAGTATCTCCTGGCATCGCTACTGGTAACAAGGGCATCGCTCTTAGTAGGTTTTATATATATATATATATAAACATTTTTAGTGGCTGGTTGTTCCAAGAACAGGCTTGGTGGCATGGCAAAGATTCAATCATTTGCAGTGCTCGATTCATTTTCTTGGCCAGTGGCAGTGGAGAGTATTCTGCGTGGCACAAGACTATATACATTGAAAATCGTCCAAAAGCTACGGGTGCCTGAGTCTGGAGCGAACCCCCGAGTGTGGTTGATCATTGGAACACCTCTAGAACAAGCCTTTTGCAACAACTATAGAATGTATGTCAATGTGGTTTCCATGCATCCTCTTGGCTATCTACACAAAGTAACAAGAAGAAGCAACAAACTAAAACTCTAGCCTGCTTGGACACGACGTTTGGAACAAACAAAGCCAAGTAACTGGAGATGTTGTGAGCATCTCAGGTGTGGTAAAATCTACAAAAGGCCACAAATGGCCTCCCATTCTGATCCTCCAATCCCGCAGTCTGTGGGGTGAGGACCCCTGAGGCGAGGCTTTCCATGAAGCTTTGAATCGCGGAAGCCTGAAGGAGCCAGTCGTGATGCTTCGATGCAAAACATCACCATACCATCACGGATCATCCATGATCCATATACCAACTAACCAACTGAGTAGCCTAGGACAAATAGATTAGACCGAGTAGCTTGCTAGTGTCATTCAACTTGGTGACAGTAGCTGCACGCTGCACAATCAGTAAGTAGCACTTGTATATATATATATAACTAATTATAACCAGGGTGTCACAGAACGACTCCAAGCTACCGCTACCGTTCTCTGTTTGGAGCAACGAGGTCTCGCTGCGGAGCGCTGAGAGGGTATTGGCATGTGACATGTCATCCGTCGATGTCTGTCGTCCTTCGTTCGACTCCATGTCCTTGGACTCAAACAGTTGGACGACACGTGGATGGTTCACAACCCCCAAACCAAAACCATCTGCGAGTCAGCGGTGCCTGGGTACTGCCCCTCTCCTCCGTCAACCTCCGCATGACATGCTCCAAAAGCTCCTTGCGGAAACCGAAGAACACAGGGGGACACCCTGAACCAGGACCAGTTGAACACGTCGAAAGATAATGAAAGATATCGAAACCCTCGTCCGTGTTGATCAAACAAAACAACAAGAGCACCATACGTCAAGGGTTCATCCGCCAAATCAAGGGGTTTAGTCAGGTTCTATAGTATAGGTATCGTCAACTGCTTGAGTGAAGTATACGCCGTATACGCTTTTGGATACTTTTGGCGCTTGAATCTACCATATCAGCATGGTTTTCTATGTTTTCTCTCATAACACACTTGCGGCTGATGCCCTGTATTCCCAGCTCACAGCGTGGCGCTCCGCTGTGCTCAACTGGTTCATGTGATCGACTGGCCTCAGACTGAGCAACTAATAATAAAGAATCGTTTGAATTATGCAAAAAAAATTGTGAAACTTGTGTATGCCGTGTTCATGCCTCTAAAGAGACCATTCGAACATCTGGTCTTGGATGGTCACTGCAGATCTCACACCGAACAAGCATCTCAACTACACAGTGAAACTCACTGCGGTGGTGCTGTGTTTGGCCTGAGCCCGACGCCGCACACCTGAACCCAAGGCCTTAGAGGCCGATGGCGAGGCATCGGCGCGGTGGTACCACCGGGAAGGACGAAGCGACGAAGCTGACGAAGCTCTTGGAGACATGAACTGTCATGTTCTCGACTTCTCGGGGAATTCCGGCATGAATTGGGTATATCAGACCAGCAAAGGGTGGATGATGCTTGATAAAAGGCTAGAACCTCCAAAACAGTGATGTATGTTTACAAACTGTTACAGGTAATGAGACAAACCCTATGCGTGAACATGCACCTCCTTGTGGGAGTGAGAAAACAAGTGGCGCGTCTTACTTAATTTAAGGCCTTTTCCACAAATCTAAACATCTCAATTGTGTCGGCTTTGCACAATTGCAAGATGCGGCCTTGAATGTGCCTTTATCCTGTCTTCCGGATCAAAATCCGTTCTTTCACATTGAAGATAACCGCGCTTCCAGGAGAATTGCGAACCCCGACGAACCGCCAGTTTTTTCGTCTAAAGATCAATTGCGTCACTCACACGACGTGAATCACCTGTAGATGCTACTGTAGATGTGAATGTATGACATGGATTTGCTGCAAGGTCTGCAAAGAACCACATGCCTTTCATGATCCGAATGCTTTGTCACATCCACAGCCTGCCTCAGCTTGTTTGACCAAGCAGATTGGGGGAGGTGAAACCAGGTATCCAAATCACATGGTTCCTTTAGACTCAAAGTAGTCTGGCCAAAGGAAGAAATCCATCCAAATTCAGCCAATCCTTGTGAGTATTGACCCATTCCGAAATCAAACCCCTCTGCCTGCCTGATCCTGCAGCTGCGGCTCCTCAACACCTACTGGTCAAGGCTTTTGTGAGACTGCTCACTAAACATGCTGGTGTATGACATACCATTGAAAAAAATCCATGTGCACCACCTGGAACCACCAAAGCACCGTGGTTCACCATCAGGTACCATCAATATAATCTATATAATGCAAATTAATATAACTCATATTACCTAATCAATATCCTGGTTTCCCTAACTAGTATCTTAGGTGCAGGGTTTCTTCAGTCATGTTGGTGGATCACCCGGAAGATCCCGGAAGGTTCTCGACTTTCCCGTCAAGCTCTCAGCGCAACTGGTTTCGGCTTCCGGAGGGTCACCAATGCGGGAGGCCCCACATAAATCGAGCGAGAAGAGAAGCAGCAGAAACCAGGACCAAAACGTTTCAGAAACTGCTACAGTAACGGCTTGAACATTTTGTTTTGAATGAAGCTCACTCAGTCCAAACTCCAAAAAATTCTGAGTCCAGGCCTTTCATGGGGTCGCGACGCCTGCAGCTGATGCAGGAACTGCAGCTCTTTTCGGTGGTCTTGAAATATGCGGCTTTAATTCCTTCTGGTGCCGACTCTGCCGACAGGGTTTTTTATGCTTAAAGTCTTTCAAACGAGTTGTGTTGAGCTCAGCGAGATCACAGCAGCCAGGGTTCCAACGGGCGCAGAAATAAAACTGACTGCACCGGGAGGTCCTTAGGCCCCTGAATGTCCCTTTTTTGGTTTATGTGCACATCACTGAACTCTCCTGCCGAATGTTTTGCACAGACTCCCTCCCTCGATGTATATAGAGGTATATAACTATATGGAGGTATTGGATTGTACTTGGTGCCTCAGTGATTACAGTAGATCCTGCTGCATTTCGTTTCTCGGAAGCGCCGGCACCGACGCCGGGCGGCGACCTGACTCTGGCGGGTCGCCGGGGCTCCTGAGGGCGGGTCGGTGGTGGACCGTCCCGTCGGACGCGCCAGCAGAAAAACACCAAGAAGTTGGGTGACATGCAAACATGTGTGCAAAACGATGGTTCCAAAGTCTGTGTCCAAGTCAATCGCAAAAAGAAGGTGTTCAGAACAATGCCAACCTCAGCCCACTCATCGGCCATGATAGGCGCTTCGCTCACCTTGCCACCCTGGATGGAAAAGGCCTCAGTCTCCCGGCGAAAGCATCTCCGCACAACTAAACGGTGGTCCGTGGTTGTCAAACCCGCTGGTCTAAGCATAAGCTTATTGGGTGTGTCCCATGCCCTGTCACAGTGGATGATGATGGTTAGTAAAGGGAGAGAACATTGTAGGTGGTGACAGCTTATCAGCAGCTCGCCGCACCGCGCAGGCCACAGTCTACGTTAGGCAGCAGTAGCACGCAGCCGCACCTCAATCCGGCGGCCATACCGGTCGTCCAGCAAGGCCTTCCTTAGTTGCGATGACCATCGCAAGATGTTCTCGTCATTGGCACAGGGCTGCGCGGGCCATCCTGTGCGTTGGGTGAAGAGGTGTATCGGAACCGTCAAAGTAGAGCCAAGAGTTTGTACACGCAGCTCATGCCAGTGTTTGCAATGCCAGGCCAGGTGAGTCCAGCTTGGTACGTAGTCCTTTCGACAAAAGAGACACACTTGCGAAACATTCTCCTTCCGCATTTTGTTGTAACCTGCCAAATTCACCGTCGAGCCACTCAGGATGGCCCAACCCCCCTCTTGATCCGGAAGTGACAACACACTTCTCTGGGATTTCGCAAACTGGGCTGGCACAACCGGCGCTTTCATTTCAGAAGATGAACTATCAGGTAGACTGAGTACAGAATTTCCTAGGCTCCACGAATCTGTGTTCGACTTGGCCATGGGGTGGATTGGAGCCATGTTTCGGTGCAAGGTTGATCAGTCGGCAACAAAATAGCTCTATTATGTTCATCTTTGAGAGCCAAAAGCAGGGGCTTGTCATCGGATTCGTCCGGTAAATGGATTCGTTGCCAGAACTCACCGTCAACATTCCAATGCCAAATGATAATGTCACGTTTCAACTTGGTATCCATAGCTGAGCTTGGATCGGAAAACCGTCACCAAAGAACTTCTGTCCAGATGCCATTTCGAAGTATTCATCAAAGGTCTTAGCAGTGGCTTTAGCGCCTCCCCTATGATGACTGTCTTCAGCGTCATCAAGAACCCAAAGCTTTGTATACTCAGGGTTTTTCCGGACCTCACCAACAGCCAAAACACGAAGGCGTGCGGCCGTAGCTTTGAAAGGCACAAGCTTTGAAAACGCAATCACCGTTACCTCCCAGGTCCTCAATCTGACAAGGGTGAACCTGACGCAATCAATGCCCCTTCAGCATCATCAATGGTTGTCATGTCTTTGCGGCGCGGAGAATGAGCGCGGTCCTTTGACGCCGCAGTGTCCGTTTCGTCACTTTCACTGGGGGTGTCTAGTTGAATAGGACCAACTTGAACAACCCTGCGTACTTCCTTGCGGGGCTGTGTCTTGGGTCGGGGATCAACCCAACGTTTCTGAAGACCCCAACCCAGGTCGCAGGCGGAGGAGCAAATTGCGATATGGAAATCTCTGAAATCTCCCTCAGCGTCCATGAAGTACCAAAAATCACGGGGTTCGGAACTCTTCGGGGGTGATGCTTGGAAAACCCAAGTCGGACCATCAGACCGGTTGCGCCCACGTAGGCGCTGCGTGACCGAAACAGAGGTCCAAAGTTGAGTGGTCAAGAAAGCGGTCACAGCATCTTTGTCCCAGCGGGACGGGGAGTCGTAAAGAGAGCGTTGTTTGATAAGAGGGCCATCAACGGTGATGTCAGCCTCAACGACCCCCAAATCACATCCCCCACCTTGTCTCAAAGCCATGGAGGTCTTATGTTTGGAGGCCACAGCAGAAATCAAAGCGAATCATCAGGCGGTTTAGGGGTCCAAGTGACCTTATCCCGTGTGACCTGGGCACCAGGCAACAAAGTAGCAAAGAGCCCGCGCTAGCCACTGTACGTACACTGAGGGGAGCCGGCGGTCGCAAATGGGCAATCAAAAGTTTGCCGTTCTTTATAGTCAACTCCTTCCAGTTCCCACCAGTGAGTGTTGAGGCAGGAACATTCAACATTGTGCCCAAGCAATCATGGAGGTAGGAAAATCTTTCATATCATTGGCCAAGAAAGCTCTATACGATACAACCAACTTGGGGCCGGCCAGTTTTTTGAGGAAAAACAACCTGTTTGGCTTCATGTGGAGTGGGTCCAGAGGATGTACCCAGCTGGTGACCTCTCACGGGTCTCACTCCATGCTTGGGACCCTTGTTCCATGAGATCGAAATGGAGGGGCCCACCGCACCTTCTGTGGTAACAGCCACAGAAAAGGCCGAGCCACACCCAAAACATGTCTTTAAAGACTGGACAACATCGGGGTCAGGTTACCTGGTAAAGGAAGACCTTCGGTGAGGGCTTTTTGGACCTGGTTCAATTGAATGATCTTGGGTGCCCCTTTCCAATGGACACCTCATGTGAAGTATGCGAAGTCCAAGTCCGCCACGATCCTGGGTGTTAAGCAGAATCGTGTCCAGAACACGAGTTTCTACCAACCCCAACAAAACCAGGGCGGCGATCGCTAGAATCATGAGGGGAAAATTTTGGGGCCCAGGATGACCGGCCATCATGAGCATGTAACATATCAAGGACACTGTGAGCTACATCTTGGTCTGAAGCGCCCGTGTTCAAGTGCATTTTCAGCGAGCCAGGCTGTGGTCTTTGGACTTGACGGACTTTTCTTGTTTCTGTGGGGCGCATGATGTGTGTTTAGAAACAACACGACGAACCTTGGGAGGTCGATTGGCACCATCAGACGGGTCGTTCTTAGTTAACCAATTTTGCAAAAAACAATCCCGTACTTTGCTCTTCGCGTTTACAGGTCTTAGCCGCTTTGCCTCCCGCACCGCCACGGAGCAGGTGCCGCAGCTGTAGGCCTCTCAAGGCCTGTTTCCGTTGTTCCTTTTTCCATCTTCTTCGGAGGTATTGCAAGCATCGGAACACAACAGTGGCACATACGTGAGATTGCGTGGATCAAGGGGCATGCCGCCGAGCACGTCCCCCAACCCTAAAAGAGAGTGCGGGGGGTCAGTGCACTCCTTTGATTCGCCGGTGGCGAGCAAGCCGGGCAGAAACAAGAGGTGAAGTAGGGTTTTCCATCTGGGCTACAGCAGCTCTCCAAATTCCGCCCGCTCTACACAACTCCCGCCAAGAGGGTGGTTTGGAGGTTCGAGTCTTGTGACGGACATATCTCGATGGTACTTCAGGGAAGTGGGGTCGTCCATCTGGGTACCAGCAGTACACCAAGGTCCACCCGCTTGACAAAGCTCCCTGTCGGAGCTTTGGGGCTTGACTTTATTGGTGAAGACAAATCACTAGTCGACCTCGTAGAGGAGCCGTCGGAAAAGTCAGAAAGGGCCCCAATGACGAAAAAGTGGACAGCTTCACCCAGCAAACATACGCTCAACACCAGAGCGGCCAATGGTGAAAGGAGCCAAGGGCCTCAGGCTCGTGCTCTCGATGCTTCTCTGGTCCACGATCAGTTCTTTGCAGCGGCGGCGCGCAGCAGGGTCGAAAATCAGGCGCTAGCTGGCCATGGCAAATAACACAGCTCAAATCGCGCCCATGGGGGCCCTTGTGGGGCCAGTCAACACAAGTTGTGTAGTAGTGCCAGATGGCATCCACACAGTGCTCTCATTGCGAGAGAGATGGGAAGCAAAGCATGCAAGGCAGAATTGCAGCAGCAGCAACAGCAGAAACAAGAAAGATCGAGGAGCTCGAATCTGCCCTGGATTTCCACTCTTGCTCTCTTTCGTTTTGAATTCATAATTCATGCGCGCAGCAGCACCTATGTGCCGATTAGCATACGGCATTTGCCAATTCTCTGTTTATTTTTGTTTTGTGGGTCTTTTCATCTTTGTTGTTCTTGTTTTTTTCTTAATTGGCATGCACATTGCATAGATTTTTCTGAACTTCTCGCATCGCCACAGCGGCCCACTTCCACCACTCAGGAGGTGGTTCAGCAGGAAGGTTGGTTAGATAGTTTGGTTAGTAAAGGATAGCTGTAGAGGCCTTTCTCAAAAATGGTGATGATCTTTTATCGACTGTTACCGGGCATGGGACACACACACACACTATACATCATATATGTGTGTGAGTGTCATTGCCAGGCCTGAGTGATTTACACCATCTCCATCGATCTCCCTTTCCAAGTGTGATGCAGTCTTCCGACTGGGGACAGGGGCACAAAAGCTGAAGTCTTCCAAGACCTGCCTCAGAGTGATTGTCTTCACATGCTGCGCCAGTGAACTGTAACAGCTTAAGCGAATGGCCATATCTCATATCTGGCCAACCCTCTCCCCTCACTGTGTTCATTCCTCAGCCAGCTCTTCCTATTCAATCTAAACACCAGGACATCACGGGTCACAGCTCCAAGACCTGCCAACAGCTCGCTCAGGACGTGGCAACAGGAGCCCTTCTGAGATGACTGACAGCTCACAGGCGCTGAAGCGAACAACCTCAATCGTCTCAGGTGACCTGCCCTGGGTGATTTCTTCTGGGTCACTGGGTGGTGGAGAAAACAAAAGACATACTTTCCGGTAGAAATTGCATGAGAACTGTCTGAGAAATCGTCTTTCAGAATGTCTGAGAACTGTCTGAACTGTCTCCGTCCCACGATTCATCGACACACATTTGAATGACCCACGACGCACAGGTCACCGAACCCGCACATGTCACGTGGCTTCTTGGCTCTGAACAGAGGCGAGGATAGGAGTCCTCTTGTTTGGAGGCGTCAGTAGTTAGGTGTCTAAATGCACCGTTTTTTTTTTTTGCTGAGATTGAATTGAATAGTACAGACTACAAAGGGTTGTGCTGCTCAAATTGCCAGCAACCCTAGGTCACAGGAGTTGCACTGAGCCAAAGGCTTTCCGCCAGCGTTTCACCCAAGTCTAAGGTAGCAGCGAACTCATCGTCGGAAACCTCCAGCTTCAGAGCCCAAAACCGGTTGACCGTTCCGAACATGAATGTGTTGGTTCTGTTGCTTCTGCACTTGTTCCTACTGGAACACAGCCGAACTGCCGTTCAGGCTTGTTCGTTCATTTTTACCACAAAAAACAAACTGAACATCATGAAAAAGAACTGTTTACTGCTCCTTTCGCCACGATCGTGTCGAAGCCGAGTCTCACCAGTCAGCGGTGATCCACCAACCACTCTAGTCTCTAGCAGCCCCCGATGAAAAAAGAAAAAAGTAAGCATGCCCCCGATGAAAAAAGAAAACAGGCTTACCTGCTGCAAATCACTCACTTCATTGCTTCATCATTGCTTCATAGAAATATATTGTCCGTGTCGTTGATCTTTTATTCAACCATATTCAACCAATTGGCTCAAATGGGTCTTCTCCAGTGGTTCACCGATGCGATGCTAACCAGGGGTGCGGTAAGCAAGCTGCCTCGGCCTCCTTGACGTCACGCGAAAACCAGGTTCAGACCAGTTTTTCGTGACTGAGGTGCTTATTGGAGGGTAGGAAGTATGGGGTAGGAGTTAGGAGTGCCCTTTTTTCCAGTCACACCCGCTCACTTGGGGACTAAATACCACCCAACACTCTCGCATCAAATCTGAAGGCCTCCCCAAAACCTTACTACAGTACCTTAGTCATAGTCCGTTAATAAATCACCCCAAACAAATGAGATCCGTTCACACTTCAATTTTGCTTACACTCCTGACTCGCACGCCACCGTCGACCTCCAAGGAGTTGCAAAAGTACTCGATGGCGGCATCCGGAAGAACCTCGGCACAGCGTCGGCCACTTTGTGGAGAAAGGGTTTTCGTGCTTGTACGTTTTTCGAGTGGGAAGCTTCTCTCTTTGGACTTCTTTGGGACCATGTTGAAGAAATAATGGGGGACTGACCATTGGTACTACATGGCACTACCATTGGTGTTGCCCAGAAACCAGCATTCGCGGATTCGCGGCACCGCATCTTCCTACATCTTCCCTTCGCCCACGCATGGGCCGAAGGCCATCCCAAAGACTCGGCCGCCGCTGGCGCCCTCCATTCGTCAGTGGGGGGTGCGAAGGTCTTCACGGGGCCCCGCCATCCAACCCGCCCTGCCGTATCCAGCACATCCAGGTGTTTAAGAACCGGCACAACAAGCCTCAGACTTTCTATATCAAAGCCTGAATCAGACATGACGTTGGTTTGTACCAGGACCCTCCAAGGGGTGTCCTGGTTGGACTACACTACCTATAGGCTTCCATTGGGCACCCCTTAGAGGGTCCTTAGCTTCAGAATCTTCGATCGAGTCAAATGGTTGTTCTTCACCGTAGCCGCGCAGCGAACGCACATGAGGATACTAGTAGGATAAAACAAACAAACACTAAACTAGTCACTAAACACATTGAGAAACTCATAGGAAACATCGAATCATTCTGATGTCTGTCAGGGTCTTCTCCTCACTCCGTCCGAACCGCGGCGTTTGTCTCATTCCGTCCCAGGCGCGCAGCGCTGGAAGATCAGCCGTCTGGGCCGGGTGGATCCGCTGCACACCGCCTCGCGGTGTAAACCCGTTGTGAACAACGGGCAAACCGAAGGACACAAAAGGTTACTACTGAGATCTACTGAGTATGACTTGACCAAAAAAAGCACGAATAAGATGAACAAAGACACTCAATGAAAATCACCTGTTCCTACTATTGTGCATTTGTTGTGATTCAACACGAGGGATGACAGGATGACAAACCGATCCAATCCGTGGCAAAACACGGCTGAACACGGCTTGGTCGATGCTCCAAGAACGATCTCTCGCCGAACGGAGATGCTCGCTTATTGAACCCGACTTGAATGACAAGAGAATCCCTAAAGTGGATCACAGTGACGGTATGATTTTCCATTATGGCTCTGTTAGAACATATACAACTGAATCAGTGACCTCTGCTGTCTCTCATCATCATTGAAGCTACTAGTAGGATATACGATATATGGATCGAGCTACATATGCTATATACAGTAACTATATATTTAGACAAACCGAACCGTTTGAAACCATCTGACTTGAATGTTTGAAAGGTCCTGCTTCTCCGGATCCAAGAAAAAGCCTTTTAGGCTTCTCTTCTGCCTTCATGAACACCAGCGCCAAACGAGGGTCCAATTCCTGAGCACCCGGAAATGCCATGCCATGAAACGCCAGCGCTGCGCACAAACGGACTGAATGACAGAAGCAGAAACAAAAATAGAACATTAAAACAAATCGTACCAATTGATCTACTGTTCGATGAATGCGTTGGCTCAACGCCAGTCGCTCGACAATTCTGGCATCAGTCTCTCCCACTGGACGATGGAGTTATATGCTCTAAATGTTTGGTTGGTTAAGAGCCCTCTGGCCCATCACAAGTAATTACTAAGCAGACCTTTCTTTTTTATTGGCAGCTTCCAGCCGCCTTTGCCAGAATCAAGCTGGTTGTAAGGCTAAGGTGTACCTTTTTAGTCCCCAAGTCCAATTCCGCCAATACAACCAATACAGTAGTACGTGTAGAAGTGAAGAACAAAACACATTTCAAGGTGTCTTCGGTTTACTGCCTGCCTGAACCATTTGCCAACATCTGATGCCTTCCTGTGCAGACTTATAGACAAGTGACCAACAATGTAGACAAACAATGCCCTTGCAACCGACAAAAACGAGTGATGAGACTTTTTGACACATGAAAATCATTGCAGGAAACTGCGAGTCTTTCATCCCTCAGCCTCAGTCCCTCCCTGTTTCTCGAAGAGAACACTAGTCGCAACAATCGACAGGTGGCGTCCACCAGCAGCAGCTGCAATCTGGGCGACTTCTGCAAGAGCTCCTGGTTCTCACGAGGAGCGGAACGTCACCGAACGCGACTGTGGCTGAGAGGAGGAACTGCTTCGCTCCACAAATCCACGGCCAATATGAACGTATATGAACGTGGGCAATACAACACGTTTGGGCCTTCTGCCGTCAGACGAAACGGCGGTCGTCTGGGGGGCGACGTAAACGTCGCGTGGTTCGGCCGCGTGGGTCGAGCGCCTGGATCCAATGGACTCCAGCGAGTGTCAGTTGGTCACTTCCCACACCTGGAGACGTCGACTCTGAGGTTCAAATCTGAATGGTCTGGTTGGGGGCTTTGACCATCCAAATCCCTGACCTTAGGTACATCCTGCAGTCCATTCGCTGGCGGCGAAAACAAGGATAACAAGGCATAACTATAACCATTAAAAAATATAATGTTGTGCATTGTTTTGCATACCATTGTTAAAGTAAAGGAGCCGCCCGTGTCTCCTCATGTCTTTTTGTTTGCTAAGTTACCTCGAACTGTCACGAAAATCCTTCGTCTTCCGTAGTCTCTTTCCACCCTGGTGTCTGATCGTCTGAGCGGCCTTTCTGCTGATGGACAGCCTGCGAAGCAACACCAGGTTGACAATTGGTGGTTGATCAAAGCTCTTTCATGATGGAATGGCATCTTTTGCGGATCTCGCGAAACATGGCCCAAAAACATCCAAAAACCAGGTCTAGTTGCCATGTAACTATGTCTAAACCGTGCTTGTAAAATCAACAACTATCATCAACTATCTTGCAGCATGACTGGGGGAGGCTTAGATTAGTCAGGCACAACTCAATCTCCTCGGGCCCAGCCACCGGGTGCATCGAACCGGGCGCTGCGTCGATCGGAACCGGGGCGCTCCAAACGCACCAATCAAGTCCTTCCCCATTGGGTCTAAACACAAACTTCTGTACCAACACATGCACATCATGCCCCAAGATCGAATCTGTCAGGCGGATCGTTGCCTCACTGAATGGATGGATGTCAGGGCTGCCCAGCTGGGTGATGCAGTTTGTGAGTTGGGAAAGGACGATTCTGTACGCACTGTCAGGGCTGCGCCAGGGCAAGTTGTCCGTTTTGTTAGTCTGTGACAGGCAGGAATCGGAGAATCCTGTATGCATTCTGAGAGCGGGCTTTGAAAAGAAGACTATATTTAGTATAGCGGACTGAAAAAAAACCAAGCCGGCGCCGGACGAGATCGAGAGATGTAAAGGAATGTGAAAGAGAGAGACAAAGACCCGGTGCACGACAGCTGAAATGGAAGGTGGCCACGCGGCCACACCAAGATTCGGCACAAATCCATCATGTGCTCCAAGGAATTCCATGTTTGCCCAGCTCCATGGCACAAACAGGTGAAGAAAGCGCTCGTAACCGCTCGCCACCTTCCGGATCTTTAAAGATCTGACCCGCCTTCAACCAATTCCATTCGGGGTCGTGGTCCATGCCTGCCCGACGCTGGCACCCCAGGCGGTCGCAACGACTTCCCACGCGAACGACCTCGCGGAAGTGTCGTCACTTGGGCGATCCATAGACCTACAAGATCTACAAGGCTTCTGTAGAGATCTGAAGCGAAGGCCAGGAGATTCTGACCCCCAAAGGGTCAAAGGTCTTTTCTCCCTCACACTCACATGTCCAATGTATTCCAATGCCCATATGTGTATCTTGTCCAGTATTGAATGTCTCCACCGCCTCCACCTCCCTTCGAAGGAAACAATCGAAGAATGGCCTCCACAAACGAAGAGCTGCCGTAGAGATGGCCACGAAGGGACTTGCAAACCTTCTATCCTGAAATCGAGGAGCAACAGCTGCACATCCATACCAGGACTCGATTTATTTGTCCCTTTTGGTGACGACGCGGCTTCTACTGTGGAAGGCACGTACACAGGTAACAACATGGTGCCTTCG